CACGTTTTACCATAGATTTCCTGATGTCACTAGGTTTCGTGGTGAACTTCCTGAAGTCGGAGATATCCCCAGATCAGACAGTGCAGTTCTTGGGCTTCGAGATAGACTCCAAGTCCAGCACACTACGACTGCCGACTCAAAGATCGCGACAATCAAAAAGGAGCTACGCAGAGTCATTCGCTGCCATTTCATTCCACTCCACAGTCTGGCTCGGATTGTAGGACTACTATCCGCATCCATCCAGGTTATATTCCCAGGACCACTCCACTACAGGGCGATGCAACGCCTGAAGACCTCCATTCTCCACCGGAACCCTTCCTATGATCTAACGATCCCGATAACGGAAGAGGTCAAGGAGGAAATCGGATGGTAGCTGGACAGCATGGAGGCATGGAATGGCCGGGCCATCTTCGGGAGCTCACCCGACATAGTTCTGGAATCGGATGCCAGCCTTTGGGGATGGGGCGCGATGGGCGAATGCAAGTCGACAGGAGGTGCCTGGACCTCTCAAGAAATCGACCTGCACATAAATTGTCTGTAACTCCTTGTAGGCTCATTCGCAATCCACAGCCTAGCAAGGGACAGATCGAACTGCTGCATTATCCTCCCGATGTACAACGTCTCCGCGGTTCGCTACATCAACTGCTTGGGTGGAGCCCGGTCCTGGCTTCTATCCGAAATAACAAAGGAGATATTCAACCTCTGCCTACCCCGCAACATTTCCCTCAAGGCGGAATATCTCCCGGATGAAACGAACCTGACAGCACACTGGTTCTCACGTCACTGGCGAGACAGCAGCAATTGGAGACTGGACCCACAGGTCTTCCAACGCCTCTCAGTCAGGAGAGGTCCCTTCCATCTGGATCTGTTTGCATCTTGCAACAACATAGACACACAACTACTTCAGCTGGTTTCCGGACCCGGAGAGCATGGCACTGGACGCATTTCTCCAGCCATGGCCAACCAAGGGAGCATACGCTTTTCCCCCATTCGCCATGATAGCGAGGACGATTCAGTACCTGAAGAATCAACGCGGATCTCTCTCCTCATCGCCCCCCTATGCCGGGGTCAACCATAGTTCCCGGACGTCCTGGCATTGTCCTACACCGATCCACTACTCCTACCATGTTACCCGATGCTCCTCACAGACCCGAAAGGGAACCCCCATCCCCTCATCTTTGAAGACCGTCTCACCCTGGACTCTTTCAGGGGAGCCTTGCAAACAGCTAGAGACCTCATACGGGCCTTCTGGAACCAGGCGATGTTACCTATCAGCTTGGAATTCCTGGTCCTCTTGGTGCAGTGAACGGAACTTCGATCCATTTACTACACCTATAGCTGCCATCCTGAATTTTCTTTCCCATCTTTTCTCCACGGGTCGCTCATACTGATAGCTCAACGTCATGCGCTCCGCGATTTCAGCAGCTCACGTCCCGAGCTTAGGGATTCCCGTATGGAAGGACCCGCTGGTATGCAGTCTCCTGAGGGGTATCTGATTGCAGAGACCTCCGGGACCCAAATACTCCCAACTATGGGACGTGGAGATTGTTTTACGGTTCCTGATAGACAGGCCGACAAACGACAGGCTGTCTCTCTGACAACTTTCAGCCAAATTGACCCTCCTACTTTGCCTCGTTTCTTTCCGTCGTGTTTCAGACGTGCAGGCCTTTGACATCGACGCCTTTTTCGGTCTCTCCGGAGGGAGTTACCTTTCGGGTATCACGGCGTACCAAATCAGACTCTACGTTGTTTTTTTACCCTTTCTTTGCTAAGGAACGGCAACTGTGCGCTGTTTCTACCCTACGTCGGTACATGGAGATCACGTTCCCACTGCGGGTCTCAACTTCGGGACAGCTACTAGTGTCCTATGTTAGACCACATGTTCCCGTTTCGACTACCACACTCGCCAGATGGATAAGATGGATCCTGTCACTGGCGGGCGTGGACACAAATTTTGAAGCACACTCAGTGCGTGGGGTGGCGGCCTCTTCGGCTTTCTCGGCGGGCGCTTCATTGGTGGATATCCTCCGTTCAGCAGACTGGTCTACCTTTCGGACATTCTACTTCCGTCCGAGTTCAGGTGCGGCTATGTCTCTTCTTCATCAGCGTTAAAAATGCAAAATAGGAAGCCTCCTGTCATGTTAGTGTACTTGTAATCTTAATTTTAGTAATTACAGGAGGCGAGTATTTTCCCACCCTTTTCCCACCCTTTTCCCACCCTTGGGAAGAGTGGATTCACGTAAGTATATTTATCTCTCTATTGGGTTAATCTTATATCTATATCGATTACTCCTCATGTATTTGGGATTTGTTCTGCTTATGTTCATTATACATTAACCTATTGCTCTTAGCCTACCATTGCTAATCGATAGAGAGGCACCTACTGCAATTTAATGTTGGGTCATTACCATTACTGCAACCAGTTTAAAGACCGGTGCCTAACCCATTTCACGTTCTCTTTTCAGTTTAAATCCGTGATGTTAAAAGTTTGTTCTCAGGATGGATACCTTTGGATCAGCCTTCATCTTCTGAAGTTTCGTTAATTGGACAAGTCACCCGTTGGTGCATGTTACAGGATATTCTGGATCAGCCTTCATTCCGTGAAGTTTCGTTACTGAGGGAGCCAAACATTGGTGCATGTTACGTTTTGACTTTATAGTTTTTATTAGTTTCCTGATGTTGCTTCCGGAAGAGGGGGAGGAGCCTCATCACTGTGAATACTATACCTCCTATTGCATTTTGATTGGTTATTGTTTTCACTTTTCTTTACTGCTATGTGGAGTTAGTAAAGAGAGTTATATGCAAAATACTCGCCTCCTGTCATTACTAAAATTAAGATTATAAGTACACTACCGCTAGCATAATCTTCAATTCTTTGTTTTATTATTTCCTGTCTGCATCAACCTTCTTCTAGTGAGCGTTCCTTACACAGGGTTGTTTTAACATCTCTATATTCCAGATTCTATTGACTCATTGTTTGAGTAATATTTTGTGTGTTAGCAGTCAAAATTTGAAGGTATTGTTTTTTCTTTCTTTCTTTTTTTTTTTTTTCTTTTTCACAATCTTTATTTTCAATTTTAAAGAATGACATAGTGGTAAAATAAAATAAGTAAACATAATAATGAATGCATCCATAGAGAAATAGTGACTTAATTTACACAGGTGAGGCATTAAAGTAATGTTTTGTATTTGTACTGCGGGGAAGGGTATCGTGTTCGGCCTCACCACAATCTTTTTGACACCTAGCTATATGGTCTCAGAGAGACTTTCACTTCCAAACCAAAATCGTCGTCATACTGATGAGACGCATCAGTCCATAGCTGGTTTCTGGTCACTGATCTTTTTAAATCAAAGCCCATACTTTGGTTTAAAAACAAAATCTGTGGTAAAACTGTGTCCATTGCTAAGGGTATCTGCAGAAATGCAGGATAATGTCTGAAACACGATGCCTGTCTATGCTCATTTGGATATTAAGCTGGGAACTCTGGGATAGTTGTGCAAACATGATTTCTCGAGTTTCTATGCCAAAAAAAGATCCCTTAAAGTGCAACTTGAAATATGCAGGTGGTGCACATGTGTTCATTTATACAAGAATACAAGTATTGGAGTATACAAGCAGATGTCAGCAGTATAATAAGAACAATGAAACCTAAAAAAATAATTAAATAGGAAAGCAACTGAAAGGGACACAACAAACAACTAAAGCACTTTAGCTTTGCTGAAGTGTTTTATATGGGAAGAGTGTGTCGTGTCCTCATTTAACAAAAAGTGCAGTTTTCGATAGGCATTGTCACTTTTATACTTTTATGTTTGATTGGCCTGGCTGTCAATCAAACAACTGGTCCTGTTACTTTCTGGTTGTTTAGTTCAGGGGATGCTAAACTTAAGAGGTAGCAATTGCCCAGAGCACCTGTCTTAAAAAAGGTTTCTGATTGGGAAGTCTGTGACAGCAACAGAAAGTCTGGTTTGGGGAAGAAGGGGGAGGGTTTGCAAAGGCTACACGTGAGGTACAAAAAGGGATATGCTACAATAAAGGGGGACATACACTGAATGGGGAAGATGCACTACAGGGGATAAGACATTCAAGAGGTGGGATAAGAGATAAATTAACTGGTAAGAAACCATAATAAAGCGCTAAGGATATAAAAGTGGGAATAGGAATGAGAAAAATGGGATACAATCTTCAAAATGGGGGGAAAAAGACTCAAAGGGGCATAAGAAGCACAAAAGGAACAAAATAATGCATAAGAGGGGCAAAAGGTGGGTTAAAACACACGCAGGACTACACTCATTGGGAGCGGGCAGCATTGGTCTTCACCTGTTTAGACAGAAATCCTTTCACTGGCCGTGACTATAATGCAGCATTTCTCTCCAACAAAAATTCCATATAAAAACCTTCTTTGCTATAAGCATGCATTCTTTATCTCTAGGAGCTATACTTTCCTGCCATTCTCTCTTTCATTATAACCCTCACCCCCTCCTCCACCCACCCCCAGGCACCTGCCGCCCCCATTCAAGCACATCTACCTACTGTTGCCTAATATGTATTATAAATTTTCTTGTTTAGCACCATTTCCCATCAGTTTATATTATTTCATCACACCCACCAGCACCCATACTTTCATCATAGCATCCACCCATCTATTAATCTACTACTTCATCATAGCTTTCTGGTACAAACTAAAGGGTACTGCCAGAGTGTGGTCTCTCTCAGAATTCATACTCCCATTTTACTCAGCTCCCCTATATTAAAAATAATTAATGGCTGTCATGGTTTGCCTTCTTTTCCCACACCAAGGTGCTGTCTGGGCTCAGGCAGATATATTTTGAGACCCATGATTGTCCATCTCTGTACAAAATCAAGACAAAGCGTTAGTGAGAGCAAAAAACACTCTAAAACAAGAGAATGGGATTTATTCAATAAATCATAAATTACAATTGACAGCTGTTTTCTAAAAAAATTGCTTTATTATAACTTTTACAATTTATTTAACCCACTACAAACATCTGAATATTCTATTTTGAGAAATTTTGATAGGAGGAAAAAAAAAGTGTGAATGATTATATGAGGGGTGGAACAGGTTTGGGATGACAACTGAATAGAAACAATATTAGGTTAGAAATAGATACAAGTAGATATACTAATAAAAGATGGTATCTCTAAACGAACAGAAGGTGCAAAAGGAAAGGCGATTACAAAGTTACTTTAAGATTCAAATAAAATTTATATTGCTTATAAAGACTCCTTTTACATGTTTATAACAGTCCCCTTTTATATTATTAAAGATAATCTTCAACTAAGGAATCTTAGCAGTTAAATCATAACAGGTGATGTCATGCTGTGATGTCACAAACATAATTTCTGCTGTAATTGCTTGAATGTTCTATTTACTGCCAATTATAACTGAGGCTCTGACAGAGATTCACCTATATCATATATCATCTATCAATCTGTGTTTAATCTGCTTTAGTAATCTGTCTCTTTATATATCTGCCTGTCTGGCTCTCTATGTCTTTCTGTCTGTCTCTTTACCAAGTTAAATAGTTTTTAAAAGAATGCATCTATTGCATTCTCTGTATTTGCCTCTTAATGCCATGAGGGACTGGCAGGTCTTGGTAAGCCATGGTTCCCTAGAGGTATAGAGGTAGCCCACATCTTGTCTGTTTCCATTTGCATTAATATCCAAGATTCTAAAATATACTTCTGCAAAAGACTGTAAAATTATATTAAATATACTTAATAAATGTAACATTAATTCACATGTATTAATTCTTTTTATTTATAAATGATTAATTGGTAAATTAATTGGTCTTGTCTTGGCTTTTGATATTTGTGGAGAGCAGCCATCTTGAATTTTTGGTATGGTGTTTTAATTAAAGTGGAAGTGTATATGTGATCATATAGTAATGCTGTACTAAACCGGGGAAAATTACACTTTTAAAGTCTCAATGACCAAATTATCATTGCTCTATCAAGATTTACTTAATAGAAGTAATTCATTGAAAAGTGAGGAAAGTATATGATATTCTCAGTAGATTCAGTTTAGGGATATGTGATTATTAATTAATATATTTTAAAGAAGATGAAAAACATTGGATAAATGGTATACAGCTTTAGGGAAGTGCATACTTGAATTGATGATGGAAAATCAGGTGAAGTAGAAGAGGACACCTGGAAGAATATAGCCTGTACCAATGTTTGTATAAATGAAAATGTGCCTAGTGCTGTCAAGCTCATATAAACCTACAACAGAAATTGACTTGATCCCCTTTTAAGCATGCAAATGCCAAAGGAGAGAAGAAGATTAAAAGCAATTATATCAGAGATAATTAGGTGAATTAGGCACTTTTTGACTTATAACATGTTTCTATATTAAAGTGGAACGTAAAAATGCAACTACCTAGAATGTCTTATGAGAAATAGTCCTTTCAGATTCAAAGTACATGATATGGTACATATGGTACATGTTTTGGTGGTCCAGTTTGCTAGGCTGCCGACCACATCATTTCTGTTTGTTAGTTCTATGCAGCTGCATCAGATTTGTCATTAAATGGTTGGTGTACTATACTCTGGACATAATGTATGTTTGTGTCTCCCTGGTCACACATTATAAGTATGGTACCCAGCACTTCACCCTTAAATAAAATATATAATTATTATGCGAGACTGGTAATTACATAATTTATAAAGCTTCTAGGTATCATAAAATACATATACATATACAAATACACACACACACAAATGTATATAAATCTTATTGGCAGATACATGCACTTCTTATAAATCAATTAAATCAATACAACTCAATCACATTCTGTAGCTGTTCCACATAGTGGAACCCACTTTTCCGAGCTTTTGAAGTAACTAGTTACTTTTTCAAAGAATCAACTTTAAGTTCAAGAGTTCTTCATTAAAAACTTGCGTTCTAATTTGAAAGATCCATACAGTTTACAAACACTGTTTGCTGCATGAAGAAATCTAACAGCCAAAAAGTCCTTGAATATGGCTTCTTACAAAAAAATAAATAATAATAACTTGTATTTTAAGCAAAATAAAAATTACCTATTGTCATTTCGTCTTTAGATTGAGACTACAACCCATGCAGGGATTTCACAAGTTTACATGTTTCAATTTCCAATCAGTTGCTTATGTACGTAAGGATACATCTTGATACCTACTGTGTGCTGGCCTTGAACATACATTTGATCTCTTATAATTAACTCCACTGCTGTACTAACCCGTCTGTTTACAAAGTACACTTGTTACAGAAGAAAAAATACTATGTTTACTCTAAGCTATCCTAGCGTCTTTTTAAAATTAGTTCATATCGAAGACATACAGTATTATATGTAATTCAGCTAAACATAATCAATAGAAGACATGAATGTATTTAGCAGACAGTATATCCATGTGTTGATAAAGCTAATATGGATACTTATACAGTCATGACAAATGACTATTTGATGATAATTTCAATTTATTGAAAACAGACATTAGAACAACTGAGGGCCATCCCTGATGCCAGAATAAAATCATGCCAGAATCTTTCTATTGATAGATAGGTAGATAGATAGACAGACAGACTGTCATGCTTATTCGTTCTGGAGCTCCTCGATCCAGTGGAGGGTCAGACGTTGCAGATCGAGTCTATTTGTGCGAAGTCGCCTCAATGTCATAACAGCACGACTCAAAGTGCCCAGGCTCCTGAATTTGGCGTTTTGGTTGAACTTGGATCTGTAGGCAGTGATGCAGTCCAATGGTATTGGTTAGTAACACAAAAAACAAAATGCAGTCCGCACTCAGGAGTTAACCCTTATGCTCCACAAATAAATACACAGAAATAATGAAAAAGCTTATCCTCATGTGAGAGGTTTTCTCTTTTAATTGAGAGACCAGAAGCTTCCTGCTCTGTTCCCCAGCCTAAAATAATCAGTTTTTAATTTGCGTATCACTCTCTCTACTTAGTGTAGTTGGTGAGCTTCCAGTTCTCTTCTAATCTTATTCAGTACATGTATCTGTGGCTCAGTGGGCGAGGCTTTATGCCGGTCCTCGGAAACTTTCAGTGCTTTAAGGAGTTTTGCTTTATCTAAGCTCTTACGCCTCAAAGTTGAGCCAATTTTAATCAATAATCCTGGCACCACTGCCTTATGGGCAAGCCATGCCATGGTTATGTTCATGTCAGTTTACTGGTTATCCACAAAAAAGTTAACAAGAGTCCTCCTCACCTCCGCTGCTTGGTCAGTGTGGTCTATAAGCGACTCGTTGAGTGGCCACATTCCTCATCCCCTGGTTGGATGAAGTGTCATAAAAGAGTTCAAAAGGGGGGCTTGATCTGACCAGGTAGGGGCGATGACAACCCTGTCCAGTGTATCTAGAGTCTTCCCATCCACAAGGCACATATCTCTGCGGGAGTATTGGTCATGAACCTTCGAGTAGAAGGTGTAGTCCCTGGTGGTTGGGTACAGTGCACGCCATGTGTCACAATTTAAAATGTCTGCTTATCTACTACGTGTGCCCTTTCATACAGATGATTAACATTTCACATATTTCACAAAAAAAAATATCCAGTGGCATAACACCTGCTTTCTGATAAAGGTACAGACAGAGTAGCTCATGCAAACTAACTTATTTTTTTCATGATACTTTGATGAAATGAAATGGCATCCATGAGAATATTTGGTAAATGTTATGCCTGGATACCAATTTCCCAGTCATTCCAAAGGTTGGACTCATGCATTAAAGTCACTTTGAAGATTAGAAAATACCCTGATAGGTAGAGGGAATATGCAAGCATAATGGGCAAACCTAGATTCACTACTATCGGTTTGTTTTAACTTGAATTGTACCACAAATGTCCCTTTAACAATGGACAAAAAAAATGTTTGCACCCACTAAGAATGGCTCCCACACAAGATGGCTTCTCAACGTCCTGAAACTCTGGAAATACTTGATGCCTTCCTTTCAAAATGTAGCCTCCATAAAATTATATCTGACTATAAAATAGATGTTTCTAATGCTTTGAAAATAAACAGCACACTTTAGAGTCTACTGTAAAATTCCCCCATCAAGATTCGAGACAGTAAAATCTGAGTGTGAGCTTTTGTAAAGAAAATTGTATTTAGAGTCAATAGGTTTTTGTTTTTTTTTTGTGCCGATATATATACCAATATATGAGAAAAGTGTGACCCTGTTGTGTTTTATGCATGGTTCACAAATTTCTCACAGAAATACAGAGTTCTCACAAAAACATGGATGCCTTCCATATTTTTTTTCAAGTAGCAAAAAGCACAAAAAAAAGTTGAGTGAAGCATGGCACAATCTCTTATAGCTCAGATATGTAGGAGAATACCAGTGTACACATTTCTTTAATATGAAGACTTGCTAGCTCCTATCAAGTGTTTCCAGGAATAAAATTCATAGCCCCACATGTATTCTCACTCACATACACTATGCAGCCTTATGCTTTAACAATGCTGTTTATTAAAGAACTCACTACACCTAGCAAGTCTTCCACGGCACACAATTCATGACATGTTCATTCTCACTGCCCTACTTTATACAGTCTTGCTTTTGACTGGTCCATTTAGCAGTGTACCTGTTGTGCCCAGTACGTAAATGTGGCCTAGCAACAATGTTTCACAATGCAAAATAACACTGCAACATTACTTCTGTGAGTAATGTTTATGCAAATTTGATGTACATTTAATGGACATACACTTCCATGGTTTTTGTATGGACTTTGTTCAGAAAATGTATTCTGGAAGAATAATCCCTAGGTCCCATGTTAATCCCAGGGGTAATTTACTACAAGCTCTAAAACTGTAAATCACATGTCAAGTCTGTGTTGTATCCATGTGGACTTGAAAAGCTTGTGAGATGCAAATTCTGTTCTTTTTTTTTTTCAGTAGACACCATCAACTTGAGCCTGATATGACGAAATTCAGTATTAGCTCCAAAGTCATGCCAAATATATTTTTTTACTAACTGGAATACTTTTGCTGTATAGACAAGTAAAAAAAGTTTCCAACTGGACTAAAATGTCTCTCTTGGAAAACAGAGAAAATGCAATGTTATTTCATAATTACTAAATGAGGTTGCAGTTTCATGGATGTAAAACCCATTTTTATTAATAAATGCTATGCCTAATGAGACGAGTTGTATGTTCTCATTAGCGTGGCACCAGTCCAACAAGCCTTTTTTAGTGCTAAAA